ATTTTTTTTTGAAATATTCATTTATCGGCCATCATAACTGCCGATACCGATAGTTTGAAAAATGCCTAATATCGGCCGATAATATCGGCCTGCCGATATATCGGTCTGGCTCTAGTGTCTAGGACCTAGATCATTAAATATTTTTTTTTAAAAGTCATCTTACTGTACATTTTAGGTTAGTTCAGGCAGTCAAACAGAATATAAAACGCCATATGGATGATTCAAAAACAGCCTTTACCCATTAAATAATAATAAAAAAAGTTTGAAAATGCTTTATATCTTCACATATTCAGGATGTATTTAAAATATTGATTTTTTATGTAATGTTTGCACCGATTGACATTTTTCAGAAACTTCGGTTGAAAAATGTGTACATGTTCTTCAAAAGCCAAAGTAAAGAAGAGTCTTTCTTGGACATCCTCAGTTGTCATTGACCCATGTTTATTTAGAGCTGTCTCTTTCTCACCCCTCCAGAACTCTCCGCTGTTCCAGTACTTGCAGGATCTAGGACACACAGATTTTGAGGCATGTTCTCCCGTTTCTCAGGAGGAGGAGTCCGGCGCTGGTGGAGAGGAGGCACCGTTTCCTCAGGATATCCCCCCGTCTCACAAAGTTAGTGTCAGCACTTATTTCTCCAATACGCAAACCGTACGGTAGCAGACTACAATCTCTAAAGACCCTCGTCTGAGTAGTGTTAAACGAAAGAAGCGGATTAAATGCTATGATGAATTGTTGTTTCGTAACCAACACAGCTTTTGAAACGCACATTGAAATTGAAAGAGACTGATCCAATACTGAATATTCTGTATCCAATAAGTTATAACAATTATGTTGTTATTTTATTCTCCGTTCCAAACCCGTATGCCCTTGAATTCCATTGAACACTGAAGAAGTTGTTTAGCAGAATGTTCATCCTGCGCTTTTCCATCAAATGAAAGTGGGAAAAAAGTGCAAACAATATAATATAATAGCGATTTCATTTAGCTTCTTTCACATAGTTCTTGTTTATTGTTTATTGTTTTTTAACTGACAGCTAGTATATTAAATCTTTTCCTTTTGTGTTTTAGAACTGAACCCAAGAAAATTGTGACAGAATTTTTATTTAGTCCAAGAAAGCTATGCATAATATGTATTTAATAAAAAATACAGTTAAATATTATACAAGTATACTACTTTTTTTTTTTTTTTTTCATTCATAACCCATAACTACTACAAATGTAATTACCATCTTTTGGCTTAAAAACATGTATATATGTATATGTAACAGAGTTATAATGAGAAATTCTTGATCATATTATTAAATTTAATAGAACAAGTTAGATTGTTATTGTTGGCAATTGTATAGCGCTTGAAACATAAATCATATTCCCTGTGTGAAATACTTACATTTTACTAATTAGTTTTCACCTTTATATGTTACTAATTCTTTTAATTGTCTAAACAAAAGACTAAAGGCCCGATCACAACAAGAACGATAATTATAAAGATAACTATATTAGCATCCATACTAGCAGACAACATCGTTCTGTTTATTCTAAGCGCATGCACTGTCACTTTAAATGCTCACGCTTGTAACAGCAGGATGGATTCTGATTGGCTGTCAATGTTTTTATCGTTCCTTAGCTGAAAAAAAAAAACGCTGTGAAAGTGATTCCAACGATATCGTTTCTCTGTGCCGTTATCATTATAGTTGTAGCGAGGACTCTATTTATCATTTATATTTTTACACATTCAAAAGATTCAAAATGTCATTTATTTTATTCACAAACTGTTACATCTTTCATGTTCACTTTTAACCAGAATCCTAGCGTTAAAATATATATAAAAATACATATTTTATTGTACCTCAAAATATTTATTTTTTGTTAAATTAAATTAAATTAAAAATCACTTTTGTTAAAGTGAAAGAGTCTCCCTAGTCTATAAGTGGATAAGTGTTTCACTCTAAAAAAAATGATTTGGAAAAATCAAGTGTGTTTGGATCCCGTCACAACAGCCATCGGTGTGAAACGGTGAAGGCCGGTCTCATGGTCACCTCAGGAACTGGAAGTGATGAATGACTGAAGAATTATCCAGTCTTGTTTGAGAATGTGATGAAATCCCACTCAATGTGTGTGAACACAACAGAGCTCATTCCTTTGGCTGAATACAATTTAGTTTGTGTGTACGTACACACTTTATTTTATCATTTGTTTGTAAAGTTTTCACAGAGAGCATCATATTGTCTTAAGTTTACACGGTTCAGGCTGTCCCTGTTTGCGTTCCCAGTTTGCGGCGACACACACACACACACACACTCACAGAGAGAGAGAGAGAGAGTCTCGTTCTATTCTTCAGTTGTCTGACACACAGTCAAAGCATCTAGAATGTGAGTCCTACAGCAGTGGAATACTAAAGACATGAACAAAGAAAGGAAGACAAAACAGTGAAAACCTCTCAGTTTGAGCGTGAATGACCACTATACTTTCCCAAAACTACACAGTTTTTCTGAGATTTTAAGATATCAAATCTGTCTTTGTTTCAAATAAACGACGGGATGTTTAGTGTGTAGGCTAAAATAATAAACCCCCCAGACATGTGGTTTGTGCGATCATGACCCAGACAGGAATCAATAGTCGGTCTGTGGGATGTTACTCAAAAGGACATGATAAACAACTCCAGCATCTGACTTTTAATAAAGCTAAATATGAGTCTAATGTTATATTGCGCACTGTAAACACAATCAAAGCTTCAAAAAAACATGAAGAACGGGACCTTTAAAAATGGACATCACAACCTCATTGGTTCATTTAACATATGACCGCCCGTATTTACTTATTCAGTATTTAGCAACTTGACCTGCTTTGAATGACAGTATGACCTACATTGGTTTTCTTCTTCAATCTAGTGTGCTGTGTGTATTTTGCAGAAGGGTGGTGTTTGGAGGCTGGTTGATGCCCTGCGCAGTCTGAGTCCTCTGCATCGAGACAGCGCCACCCGTTGGCAGGAGCAGCAGCTGGTGAGAATGAAACTCTCTGCTCGTCTTTCCTTCAGTAGTGTCAAAGAGTAGCAGGACTATTACGGCGTTTTGACGGTGTGCAAATTTACCAACCTGGATTTCAATCATGTGTAAAATATGCATAATCACAATAATATTGGTGGGAAAACAGTTGTTTATGTATAAAGGCACTTAATAAGATCACTAGATCTAGATATGTGTTTTACATCTAAAAAAAAAGAAGAAAATGAACGATTTAAAATGAGTGGTTTAAATTTTAAAATATTATTTTTTTATTGGAGAAAAATTTTAATAAAAAAATAAAAGCTATTGGCAGATGTTTAAGATTTAGATAAAGATTTTTTTAAAAGTAATATTTACTCATCTATTTTTAAAACTATTATTTCTAACCACATTTTTAAACATGTATAAATATATTTTTTATCTAATTAATTCTAAATGTATTTATTTTTTTATTTTTGTTTTAATATTTAAAATATTTTTCATAATAAAAAAATCATAAACCATTTAACAAATAAAGATACATTTCTTAATAAAGAAAATACATTTCTGAATTACACTGATTTCTGTATAGCTATAAAGTGTATTTAAAATATATAAATATTTAAAATGTTCCCTTTCTTTTTAGTTACCCTTTTGAAATGATTCCAACTCTATAGGATCAAACTAATATTAATCACATTATTTTTAAAATTCAGAGACTAAGATCTTGTTATGTTGTGCGTACAGCACAGAATCCCAGTTTTGCTGCAAGGCAGTGTTGATCCGATAATTAGATTGATTTTTAGCCGCTGTGTTTGTTTTCCCGCAGGACGCTGCCTTCCGCCAGTATTCTCTGCGCTGTCTGTTGTCTCAGGATGTGCTGTTGCAGGAGGACATCGAGCTGATCGAGCTCCTGGATCCGAGTGTGCTCTCTCTGGGCTCCACTGATACTGTCTGCCCCAGTGCCAGCACTGCCGTCCCAGCGCCATGCTACCTCTCGCCTCCCTCTCTATGGTACACAGCCACATCAATACCAACAAAAACCTCGTTATCAAGCCGATATGTCACTGACGTGTTTCTCTGTCCCAGGGATGTGTCCGTTTTGGTCGGGCTGCTAGCCGTCCTGCTGGGCCTGCGCTTTTCGTACCCTGACCACGAGCTGGCTCTGTGGTTGTGTGCCATCCTGGTGTGTGTTATGTGTGCCTGTCGCGGCCTGTCTCTATGGCACAAGGCGGTTCTTCAGCGCCGCGTCCAGTCTCTGGCCGTCCAGCTGGAGGGTTTGGTGAACAACAGCCGAGCGCTGACCAGTCTCTCTCGCAAATCTCTGCGTCTCATGCAGGAGACGGAGGTCATCTCACGAGGATTCACACTGTAAGTTTCACAGCACACACACACACATGTTTGTTCATGTCTACAGTGTCTTTAGATTTTGTTTTGTGTGTGAAAATGTGAAATTGATGCTTTGTGTTGTGCATGTAATGCAGTTTTATAGTTGTTTAAAGCTGAAGTGTGCAATTTCTGTAAATCTTTTTCTTGAAATAGCTTTCCCAAACACTCCCGTCTATGATCGGTCAAACAAATAGAGCAAAACACGTATTTAAGAATGCAGTATTCATAGTTGACTCTACAGTGTGGACATTAACCTGAAATAGGAAAAAGTATTTTAGAAACCATAATATATATATATATATATATATATATATATATATATATATATTAGGGCTGTGCAAAAATGAATTGCGATTAATCGCATCCAAAATAAAAGTCTGTGTTTACATAATATATTTGTGTGTGCTGTATATAATTATTTTTAATATATAAATACCTATGCATGCATGTATATATTTAAGAATTATTTGCACTTAAATTCTGTATATATATATATAAATATAAATACATAATCTATATTATATAAATATAAATATTTTATATATGAATAACACATTTTCTTAAATATACATGCATGTGTGTGTATTTATATATACAAAATAATTATATACAGCACACACAAATATATTATGTAAACACAAACTTTTATTTTGGATGCGATTAATCGCAATTAATTTTTGCACAGCCCTAATAAATAAATATATATATATATATATATATATATATATTTGATTTGATTTATTTTTAAAGTAAAAAAAGTCCTATTACATGCTTGGGAGAAGCAGTTCCATTTCGCAGGACTCATTATCTATTTATTTTTGAATGTTCGTCATTTTTAGTTCAATTATGAGCTTGAGTCTCATCATTTTATGTCTGATAATATATATAAAAAAAAAACTGATAATATTAAAAATGCACTGTGAATTTAAATAAGTAAAACCAGGGCCTTAAACTAACTTTTTGCTAATCCTGCCAATGGCCAGCGACTTAAGAAAATGTACCTTGCAAAACATGCAGTTATGACATCAAAATGTTTGATGCTAGTAAAAATTACAATTTCGATATAACAGCTAAAACTGCTTGTGTTACTAATATAAATTGAAAAATGATTAAAGACAAGTAAACAAACACTGCTTTTCATGTAGGTTTTTTTAGGTTTTCAGGTACATACATTTACTGCATAGTCTTCACTATATAAATTAAACTTTGATTAATCCTTATTAAAGGTACAAAAGTTGTTCCGTTAAGAGCTGAGGGTAATTTGTTTTCTTTTCGTTGTCCTTTATTTGATAAATTAACATTAAAAATGTTAGCAGACAGCAGTAGGATTATTAGGATACTGTCACTTTAAGACCTAATGCACACACGGATCCAGTGTAATGATATATACTGTACACATACTGCACTTACAGTCGCCATTGGTGATTTTCACTCACATTAAATGCTTGGCAAGTGTTAATTTTAGGTCCAGAGTAAAACTAGTTTGATTCATTGTTTGTGCCTTCATAATTTGTATTTTCTACACTATATCCTGCATGTGAGAGCTCATTTCCTCTATATGTCTGTTTGTGTGTTTAAATAGATTTAATAATGTATGCGTGTATTGCATGTTGAATATGATTTGTCTGTCACTCGATACTGTCTGTGTTTTGTGTATTAATTCTTCTGTTCAAAAGTTTGAGGTCAATAAGATAAACACAAATGAACCCATGTACTTTTTAAATCAGGGGTTCTCAGCGCTGGCCCTCGAGATCCACTTTCATGCAGAGTTCAGCTCCAACCCTGATCAAACACACCTGAACAAGCTAACCAAAGTCTTCAGGATAAGTAGAAACAAACCCAATTGAAGGCAAGCCTGCAACCTTAGCCGGAAAAAGCACGCCGTCTGCTAACGCTGCAGCTCACGAGGAAAGAAAGAAGGCTGTTGTTGTTTTTTTACACGGATGTCAAAAGCTTCACTACGCTGAATGAACCGCTTTTGTGAGGAAATGGCTGATCATTTAATGAATCGACAGCCCAAAGCAGTCATGTGATTGGTTATCAAAACACATGTTACACTTTTTTTTTTTCAACAATAGAGCCACAAACGCTTATATCTCACAATAATAGTTTGATCAGGGTTGGAGCTTTGCCATCCAATTAAATTAATAACTTATTTTAGATTAATATGTAATATTTCACAATTTTATATTTACTAATTACTAAGTTTAATTAGTCTCTTACTATATTTCTGATTATGAGATAGTTTTTTCAAAAACTTGACCAAATCGTACTGACCTCACACTTTTGATTGGCGGTTTAGGTGTATTAGTTTGTGGATATTTGTGTCATTTTTGTTTCATAGTGTTAGTCTAGTTAGGTAGTATTATGTGTTCTATGTGATGTGTGTCTGCCATGATGGTTCTCGGACGTCTGCACAGTTGGATCACATTTCACTTGTCAAGTTTACTCGACAGGGTGAGTGGCGCCTGTCCCTTCAACAGGGCGGGGCATCTTCGGAGTCAGCAGCTGATTGGTCTACGGAAAGCAGCCTATCAGAGTCTTCGCTGCGCGTTCCGAGCCTCCCGCCTCGCCACGTGCATTATGCTCAAATCATATCCTGATCCAGCAGCATCGCAGCGATCAGTTGCTTTTATATTACGCTTTCTTAATATTTAATTCACTTGGATTCTTAGTGGTTAAGTCCTTGACTGTGTTTTACATTTCCACTGAACTCAGAGATTGACAATGTCACGAACTACGTGTCCACCGTGCCAATCAGAGAGCTCGGTCTCGGTCTGGGGGTGGAGCATCTTTCTGATGAGCAAGCACAAGAACTGACCAATGATTTCAGCCTTCCTGCACTCAAGGTATAGAAACTTTTTAGTGTTTAGTCGGACTGGGCAATATAGCTCAACCTATAGCTCAGAATTTTTCTGTGTTTTGGCCATATTTATCTTGTAAAGATTGTGATCTTAATTTTTTTTTGCAAACTTATTTTGATTATTTACTTATGAAATTTGTGAAAAGTGATTTTTTTTTTTAGCAGTATAACAATAAAACACAACATGCATGCATATATACGTATATTTTCATGAAAAATTTAAAAGCACAGTAATGATTCAAATTACAATATTTATTCTATTAATATAATCAATTTGTCAAAACGCTTTTTATACAAATTTTTATACCCAATTTGGACAAAACAACAGTTGTTACCAAGTATATATTATAGTAAACATGCATTTAAAATAATAGAGGCAGTTTTTTTTAGTCAATAAAGACAAACACACACACACATACACATATATATATATATATATATACATACTATTATTATTTGTATGTGTTGATAAGTAGCAATATTTTAATTTTTTAAATAAATAAATTTAAATAAATAAATAGAGGCAGGTTTTTTCAGTCAATAAAGACAAACGCACACACACACACGTATATATATAAATACATACTATTATTATTTGTATGTGTTGATGAGTAGCAATATTTTTTTTATTTAATAAATATTTCATAAATAAATTTAAATAAATGGAGGCATTTTTTTTTCAGTCAATAAAGACAAACACACACATATATATATATATATATATATATATATATATACATAATATTATTATTATTTGTATGTGTTGATAAGTAGAAATATTTTGTATTTTTTTAATAAATAAATTTAAATAAATAAATAGAGGCAGGTTTTTTCAGTCAATAAAGACAAACACACACACACACACACACACACACACACATATATATATATATATATAAATACATACTATTATTATTTGTATGTGTTGATGAGTAGCAATATTTTTTAGCAACAGGTTTTTTTCAGTCAATAAAGACAAACACACACACACACAGACACACACACACACACACACATATATATATATATATATACATACTATTGTATTGTATGTGTTGATAAGTAGCAATATTTTTTTTGTTATTTAAAAAATATTTAATAAATATATTGAAATACATTTAAATAAATAAATACATTTATAAATACCAATATTTACCTACATATATTTTTCATGAAACATTTAAAATGACATTAAATGGTATGCTGGGACTTCCATGAATATTTTTGATTCATGACATTGAATTATTATTTGAATTAAATGATTGAATTTGAGTGTTTAAAAGAACTGACAAAGAAATCAATCAAAGTTTTTGTTTTTTTTTTTGCTGTGATTTCTGTGAGTCTGGACATAAAGTAGAGGGAAAAATCTATTCCACTGCATGTTGCGGAAACATAACAGGCCCATGAAACCAATTTCATAGCTTTGAAAAAAATCATAACGACCTTACGACCAATATATTGCTGTTCTAAATAACACAACACATGATTCTCCTAAAGTAAATATTGATTGGTTTGCAGACGTTGTTCCAGCTGTGGGTCGGGCAGAGCTCCGAGTTTTTCCGGCGATTGGCTCTGCTGCTGTCTCCGGGGAGGGAGGAGCTAGACTCCAGGCCCCGCCCCCTCACATACAGCAGCGTCCCTTTGATCACTGACTCCCTCCATCACACCCTAGCCAGTTGCCTTGGTGATCTGCAGCGCAGCTTCGATTTCCACCGCTACTTCGAGACGCAGCACCAGTCGCTCCCCGCGGGAAGAAACGGACGGGCTCAACAGAAGTGTAGAGAGCTCAACTCTCTGCACACGTCTGTCCGCAGTTTACAACTTCACCTGAAAACACTCCTAAACGAGTATGGATTACTTTCTTTTCTTTTTTATATATTATTGTATTTTTTAGAATTATTTGAAATGACAATTGGTGAAATTAATCATTTATTTAAAATTAACTTTAAAATATGAATATAATAAAATTATAAAATATAAGATCATCTGACACAATGGCATTTAATTGATTTACTCATTTCATTTTCACACTGATTATCAAAAAAAACTGGTTAACACACTATTTTATCTGAATGGTTGAATTTCTCCTAGGGTCATAATTCTGGAGGACGATTTGGAAAAGTTAATGGTTGCGAAAGAGACGGAGGAGATGACGTGTGCGGGATATCAGGAGCTGAGAGAGCGTCTGCAGCTGCTGCAGCCACACATGCAGGCCAGCACCTGCTGCTGGGACGACACACTCGCGCAGGTCGACCGCATGCTACGACGGGTCTCCAGCCCCCCAGGTCAGAGGTCACCCTCTTCACCAATCACAGCACTCTGCAGCTGCGCCGCTCCGTTGGAATTTAAATGAACCACTATTTTGTTAGTTTCATTTAGTCGTTTTTCTGAAAATTTATGGTATCGTAAATTGGTCATAAATGACCGTTAGACCGTAAGTGGGGTGGGGTGTGCTCTAAAACTATTAAGGTAATTATCACAATATAATTTTCCTTGATATAATTATAACAAAAGCTTTATAAGTGTTCGATATAATGTTTATGCACCACGGTGCACCCATGGTATTATGGCAGAAATGTGGTTATTCATCGAATTATTTAGTTTCAAGACTCAAGTCTTGTTTCTACAACTTTAACCCTCAGGTGCTCTTCGTTTCGGAGTCACACTTGTTATCTTCCCGGTCAAAAGTGACCGGACACCTAAAAATGAAACTTTCTCCATCCCAGTAAAACCAATGCAATTTATTTTTGTTCTATAATATTTATTCTTTTTAATTTAGTATTTTGAGACAATTTAAATGAATTTATTAATATTTATGCAATATTTATGGTTTATTTTTGCCATAGAAAAATATAGATTATTTTCTCTATATATATTATTTTCTTCAAAAAAATATTAATGCAGTTTTTTAGTTTAATATAGAGTCCAGGCCTTCAGAAAAAAAAATCTTTTTTGAAGAAAATTAGCACCATCTGGTTACAGTATAGAGAAAAAGGCATGGCCATATTTGTGTGTACAAGCTTTCGAAATGACGTCCTCACCATTATAATTGGTGCGTCAGGCTTTGTGTGATAACAGCCTGTGTCTTAGGAGTATTTTTAGAGTTCCTTATTCGACTGATTTCCCTCCCTTTAGTTATTTTAGGGATCTTTAGGGAAGTAGTAGGGTAAAAAAATGGAGAGAGGGATGTGGTGGGTGATGTCCTTTACAGAATTAGGCCATTATGCACAAGTAGATGACGTCATTGTTCCCCAGCTTCATATGATGACCCTCCTCGGGGCTGGGGCTTAAACTGTAGGGAGGTCAAAGTTCAGCTGTGCGGTTCTTTCAGCCAAACATCAACAACAACAGCAGCTATTTTTTCTGAAGGAAGCACAGTTTGCAGCAGATACAAAATAGGAAAGTGAATAAAGTATTAATATGATATTAAAAGCCATTGATTTTCCATTTTTATCCATAGATACCAAAATCAGTCATTTATTTGTCATATACTACGTAATAGATTGAATCCTTGACTTTATTTCCTAATGTAAACACCTTTTTTTTGAATATTTCATAATGTAGATTTATAATGTGATGCCTAAACTCTCACACTATTTGTTTCTTTCAATTTCCTTTTTTAAAACAGTAGTGCAGATTTATAAAATTTGCCATTTTGTCTGTAATTGGGCAGAACAAGCGACATTTGATTCCCATTAATGCTAGTGCTTCATGAATCTAGAAACTGAATTTGTCCTGTGTGCTGAAAGGACACATTAGCAGGATACTGTGTATTTGTGTGTGTTCCTCAGAGAGTTCGGATCGGCCAGAGGAAACGGATGCCCCAGATCTCCCTCCTGCCGCCCCTATTACACACATACAGGACAGAGACCCTGTCCCTGAGGAACAGGTACCTGTGTTTGTATGTTTTATCTATAGAATTAAAATGCAATTCATACATACAAGGAAATACAATGCACCTCTATGATTGTTTTTTATCAATTTTTCAATACTGCTGTCCTGATATCATAATGAAGAAAAAACTGAACAAATAATTCATTAAATTATTCAAAAGAATAAGTATTTTGGTATTTTTTATTTTTTTTATTTTTAAAAAATACTATATTATTTTCTGAATCATATTTGATTGATTTATGAATTAATTTATGTAGTACCTTGACATATATTTAATTATTATTATTTAATTATTTAGTTATTACCAACCAACATGAATACAAAGACTACGTTTGTAGTCAAACTTTGGCACATGCATTTTAAACTAGATTTTATTTTAATAAGACCTCATTTTCTTGGTTGTGGACAGATCTTATTTCTTATCGACCCGTGACAAACAAAAGGACCACTCATGTTTTTGTCTAAATCTAGTTACCGGTAATTAGCTTATTGTTTTTGTAAGTCAGAATTTCACAGATGTAATTTGTTGAACGAAGCAAGATTTCAATGTTTGTTATGAGCGGATATTTGCAGCGATATTCATAAACAATGAGTTTTGAGGTTATAGATGGGATTTCTAAAGTTGCTTTTCTTGGCCAGGAACTGGAAGCCTACGTGTCGGACTCGGACTCTGAGACGGAGTGGAGAGGGGCCGTGGACATGCTGTCGCCATGGGAACAGGAACGCCAACGTCATGAACGCGAGGAGTCGAGACGCGTTTTACTCGAGCTGAAATCCGTCCTGGGAATCCGAACGTCAGACGGAGAGAGAGACAAGCGCAAGCTTCTGCTGTTCAGTGATCAGGGTACTACATACGCAAACGCACGCATGGCACAACTGAAATTAATGTTTAGCTATATTATAATATTCCTCTCTGTCATAAGAACCGTTCACTAACGTTTCATTTCAGTGAACGGGTTCAAAACATTAAATTTCCTTTTAAAATGTCACCTTTTATATAATTAAATGTTTGAGATGCTAATATTTTGCTTGAAAAATAAGTTATTTGTTACACACTGTTACGTTTTGAATGGCTTTCAAAAAAAAGTGATACTTGAGGTAAGATTGCCAAGATTTTTAGCGAAGTTAGCTTAGCTTATCTAAACTACACTCAGTTACATGTACCTTTTTTGTTTGTCTTTCCCAGCACTAAATCCTCTTCCAATGTGTTTTGTGCCTTTCTAGCTGCTCTGGCTCCGTTTGCTAAGGACACATCAGAAACGGACACGAACTCTTTAGAGCCGCATGTTTCAGTGGAGTCCATGACCACCACAGGCAACCACGTGTCCCGACAAGGAGAGGAGGATGAAAGCGAGCCGCGGACTGAAATCCTGAGTGGGGCGGAAGATTCTGTGACTGAGTTTTGCTGTGGAGATTCTGATGTAACCGGGGCAGCTAAAGACGCCAGTGAAGAGACCGCAGAGGAAACGCATCTCTTCCAATCAGACGGACTCGTAGACGACGAGCATGACGGGACACACCCACTCACACCCCGAGTGCCCACCCTCTCTGTGATCGACAGATTGACTGAACTGCATGGCTCGCAAGCGATCAGTTTCAGCTCCGCACTGGCCGCCCAAGTAGCAGCTCGCTCGCATACGTTCACACACATGCAGGAATGCACCTACGGGGACTCGGAGGAGGAAGGGGAAGTGACATCACAGCAGACGAGAGAAAGCGAGGAGGACTGAACAAGGAGGATATTTATTGTCATCTTTTTGTTCGTATTTATTGAGCTTGATTTCAGGACACAGACATCATTGGATGTAACTGGTGTGTGTGCGTTTCTGTTTTAGAGTGTGTGTGTGTTGAGGATTTTATGTTCCATGTGTTCCACTCTCCTCATGACAGGCCTCAGGTACAGACTGGCACACGCTAGTACTCAAAATAACAGAATCAAAACTTAAACACAACTACATGTCCTTGGTCGTCCCAGTTTTATTCACACAAAATAAAGAATTTAAGTTCTTAAAATGCCTAAAAAGTCAGTTATATTGGGTCGTAACTGCTCATCAAGAACACGTACGGGTCATATTTGACCCCAAAATTATAGAAAGAAAAAATTTACAATATGAAAATTAAGTCTTTTTATTAGATTTTGTGATTTTTATGACAATTTTAAGACATTTCCCCTCAATAAATCATTACCGTAATGCAAAACAAATAGTTGTACTTAGTGTATTGTAGAAACATAACTTCTTGTTACCACAATGCAGAAAATAATTCCAATATATTCTAAATTTAAATATACTATATTTTATTATCAGCAATGTATGCATCTTTTCTGCAGTATGGTGATGACAAATTCTAGAAAGAAAGAAAGAGTGTACCGGAATTTATTTTCTTTATTGCGAAATTGAGAAGTTATTGTTCTTTTTATTTACACTATTGATCATTTTTCTTAATTCAAGTAATGAGAATATATTTTTTAATGCGGAACAATTAAAAATGTTCCCCATTACACTAATAACAGCTTTACTTATTTTGGATTGCGGTAATGACAATGAGATATTTGTCGCATTACGGTAATGAGAATTTGGGTAAATAATATACACAAATCTTAATGGTACCGCAAATAAAAAATCGTTTTCTCTATACATATTATGATTTTGGGGTGAAATATGACATTTTGTTACAAAAAGCAAAGGTAATACTGACGTCCTACTGGATTGCAGCTGGTATGCTCTCAAACTTTGAAGCATTGACCTGAAACTGTCGGACATTTTAAAGGTTTTGAAATGTATACACTTGTAACAGCCTGAAATTGACTGTGATTGGATTTCCTTTTTGTTTACAGAAGATTCTTGAGTTTTTCAGTCCAGCATCTTGTTGAACACTTCACATGAAACCCCTTTTGTTAGATCCTTATTAAAGCAACAAATACTGATTTATAGATTTTCTCAAGTAATGATCAACCCGGTTTTAAGTTAAACCCAATTTTAACTCCTACAATTTAACTTGCCTTAAACATGTTTCCCTTTTATGGACCGTTGCACTTTACAACTACAGTTAAATGTTTTAATAAGACTTAGAATGTCAATGGCTATGTTGATGAGGCCAGAGAGCAAAACCCCAGATATAACAACGTTTGTGTGTGAATTGAATGTTTTTATGTCTAACGTCCGTAATTAATTTCCCCTCATGCATATATGCATGACATCAAGACTCGCAAACAATCGTCTTGGTCATGGCTGAGACTGTCTTTGTGTTTGTCATCACTCAACACCAGTTTTGCCTTTTTTTCCCCCCCTTACTCCAAAAGTGGCAATCTTGCATTTCATTTGTGAAATAAAGTACATGTACATACAGTATGTGTTTGTCTTTGCTGACTTCATGCAGTTTCACACTAAGAATAGATTTCTGTACACATTTAAAGGGATAGTTCATCCAAAAATGTTCTTCCAAACCTGTATGAATTTATTTCAAAAGAAAAAATGACTTCCATAGTATATTTTTCCTCAACTGTCTGGTTACAAACATTATTTAAAATATATTCTTTTAAAAGAAATTCATAAAAGGTTTGGAACAACATTTTTGGGTGAACTATCACTTTAAAGTATTGCTGTAGGCTACATCTAGGTAAGAAATACATGCATCAGATTCTGCCATCTACTGGACAATATTATGAGATCTGGAGGAAATGTGCATGATTGATCATAAGATAAAAATATATTATTAATATTATTGTCTCACCTTCGTGAGATTAACACAAAAGGTTCAGTAAAGAACATGGTGTATTAAACCGTTTAGTACACCATGTTCTTTACTGGACCTTTTGTGTAAATCTCACAAAGTTGAGACAATAATATTAATAATATATTTTTATCTTATGATCAAACAAACTGTATTGAAACATTATTGCCACAACAATTATTGCCGTTTAGTCTAAACGGCACATGAATAAATTCTATTAAGGTACGAATCTCATGATTTCTCAAAAACTCTAACATTATAGCTACTTTAAGAATATGAATAGATACTTCAAACATTTAAAAATAAACCTGTACGTTGTCAAACATTTTCTCTGAATGGGTTTCCTTCATTAATATTCTGCTCGCTACAAACTCCTGGTCATGAATATGTATCATTTAAAGTGACGTTTGCCCGTTGGGTCTATCTGATTGGCCAAGAGGTAGAACGTGCTTGTCAGCTGGCCAATTAACGAACGGAAGTGCTCATTAATATGAATGAGGTAACTTTTCTGGAGGCTCTCGACAGCGTGACCTAATTAACATTAATGAGCTTATTCTTCGCTTGTAATTTCGTCACTCACTCAGCTGATTCGGCAGGTTTTCTCCGCTCCTCCCACAATGCACCGGTCCCAGTCTCTCCACTCGCGTCCGCATGAATCATGGAGGCGAACGGAATCGAGCAGCTGCTGCCGGTGTCGGTGAGCCCGAGCCCGGTACCGCCAAGCATGGACACGGTGATCCTCAACGGGCACGCGGCGGAACGAGACGAAGCTGATCCCGCCAAGAAGAAGAAAAAGAAGAAAGGCAAGACGGCAGTTTCGGGTGAGTGTCTCATTCATAGTAATAAGTGCAGAGACCCTGCTTTAAATAATCATCAGTGAACTCTCTGATAAACTCTAAACATACTCAGGACCATCTGTCCTATGTGTAACGTTACATATGCGTTTTGAGTCAGACATTATAAGATCTGTAAAAAGTTTTTTCCAACCTTACGAATTTTAGTGTGTATTGGAATGTTGTGGGATCCTAAAGAAAAGCTTAAAAAAATATTTTTAAATTTATGGAAAATACAAAATATCTAAATGTTATAATTTTTATTTAATTATTATATAATTATAATGATTATTTTTATGTATTTTTTTATATGTTTTACAAAAGCATAAAGATTATATAGCCTTTAAGATGTTTTGAGATCTCAAATGAAAGGAAAAAATGTATAAAATATTGTAACGTTATGTGTGTGTGTATATGAAGAGTTCAGATGCAAAAGCCTCTAAATGCCATTTGAAATTTTCTTCTATAATGACCATTTTTATCAAGCTTGCATATTTAAGTTCAGTAATTTCACTTAAATGACAATTAATAAGTAATCTTCATTGCCATTTAAGTGAAATTACTGAACTTAAATATACAAGCTTGATAAAAACGATCATTTTAGAAGAAAATTTCCAATGGCACTTAGAGGCTTTTGCATCTGAACTCTTCATATATATATATATATATATATATATATATATTAGTTTTTATCTATGTTATAATTAAAATTGTATTTATTTATTGTTAAACATATATTAACGTTTTGTTTTTTTTCGTATATTTTATTGATTATATATATATATATATATATATATATATATAGAATGTAGGTTACAATACATACAAGTTGTTTTGAGATTAATTTTTTATACATTTTTATTGTATTTCTTTTTTCTTATAGTAATAGAAGAATATATAATACATATACGCTGTATCTCAAAATATTATATCATAATTATTTTATATTATGGTAAAAAATGCTGTCTATGATGGCAGTCAAAGTTTTGAGATGCCCTAAAACACAATTCAAATAGTCCTATTTCACCCTAATTCTTCCCACCGGAAAACACAGATCTGCATTGGTGCACCTGAGGATGCACCTGATCAGAACAGCCATCATCCGAGGGAGTTATGATGAATATACTGAACAGCAGAGTATGGCATATTTATGTTTACCCCTTAATAGTCGACTAACCGTGATGTCTAGGTAGGAAGCTCACTGGGTT